GCTGACAACACCAAGGTCTGGCATTCAACCCCTGTACCAGGCAGCCAAAAAAAAAAAGAAAAAGAAAAAAATCATGAATATGTTTAATAAAGATTACTTCCCTTTTTCTTGTCCTTTTCTCCTATTTTTTGCATCTTTATTCTTATTTCAATCCTATATAAGATTCTGATATTTTAAGACCCTAATAGCAATTTAACCCCCACAGTTGAAATAGATTAATATGAAAGATAAAAAGTATTCCACCTCAGAACCTAAGGAAAGCATAGCACACATTTCTCTATGAATCAAAACCCAGAAAGTAAAAGATTTACTTTGCTTACATTCTGGTTTGCCTTTTTTAAGCATTATTTCCCTTTTTCTTGCCCTCCCATCACCATCTTCTACCTCCTCTCGTGTTCCGTCTAAGCACGTTACTCTTAATAAATTGATAGCCAAAATGGCAACCCTATTATACACATAAATTCAGTAAGCATTTACTGAGTGCCTACTGTTCACTTGTTCTTTCCATGAATTTGTATTGAGTGCCTACCACGTGCCAGGTACTGTTGCAGGGAGGGAAGAGGGAAGAATAAGGGAGGAAAAGAGAGAGAGAGATACAGAGACAGAGAGACAGAGAGAAAGGAAGGGAGAGGGAGGCAGAGAGAGAAGACAAGTCTTGGAGAATTGGATTGAGAAACACTGAAAAAAAAAACAAAAACCTGTCTTCTAGAGAGATTATGGTCTAACATAAGAGAGATGAAGCATAGAATGACTGTAACAAAGTGTGTGGTGAGTGTCATGGTAGAGGAAAGAGGACCTACAGGGCTTCAGAAGATGGCTACAATATTATTTTCAAGCAGTGTTTTTTAGTTTTTGGCTTTTTCTTTTGAAGTTTTAATCCCTATTCAACCTAGCATAATATCTTCCACATGTGGAAGTCAGGACTTTTTCTATTGCAAGTGACTGCCGCCCAATTCAAACTGGCTTAAGCAAAATAAGGACTTTATTGGCTTGTGAAATAGAATAGATCGTGGTACTTCAGACAAAGTTGGATCCAAATGCCCAAACAATGTTAAAGACTCACTCTTCTTTCTTTTTTTTCCTTCTTTCTAACTCGGTCCCCTCTGTTCTTCTCCATGTTGGCTTTATACCTAGCAGATGATGATGATGATGATGATGATGATGATGATGATGATGATGATGATTATTATTATTTTGCCCAGCAGATTCTTTTCACATTTTGGTTCCCAGCAGTTCCAGCCAGACCTTCATCCTATTCATGTTCAGTCTATCAGAAAAAGAACTTCTCTTTTCCAGTAGTTTAAGAGAGAGTTTCATAGCACTGACCTGGCCGGTCATATGCCCATCCCTAACACTTGCTTTGCCCCCAGTGATAAAATTCTGAACTCAAAATGGGGCAGTGGGGGAATGAGCACAAATGTACAGTCAGGAGTGACTTTCCAAAGAACACCAGGTGTGATTACCAGAAGAAGGCAGGTCAACCTACATATGTCAACTACAGCCAGTTTATCTAATTACCTTCTTTTTCATCTCCATTTCAGTAAGTTTAGAAAGATCAAGAGACTAGGTCTGCTTTTCCTGCATCTTCTTAACAGACTTAGAGATACTGTTCATAATCACTCTGAAGTAGGAGCAAGGTATAAAATCTGAACATGTTTCTAGCTTCTCTGAAGTCAGTCTGTCAATGTGGATTTTATTCTTTGACTGGAAGTGCTATGCATTCCCTGATGGTAAGACATATCTATAAACAAATACATATCCATAAACCATAACCCCCCATAAAGAAAGAAATGATGCCATGACTTATCAGTGCTACTTTTCTTCATTAACAGATATTCAAGTACTGATTCCAAGAAGATAAGACTATTGAGTATTTTATCAAGCCCTTTTTTTCTGGCAGCTGGCCGATGCAGGGAATCTGAACCCTAGATATTGGTGTTATAACACTGTAAACTGTTAAAATTTACATTAAAAAGAGTGAATATTGTTCAAATCCTACTAAGATGCGGGGGTGGGGAGAAAACAACTGTCATTTCTAGCTTTGTGAGACCTTGTGCTTGAACAAAGGATATGACAATGGAGGAGCAGAACAAATCAAGAAATATTTAGGAAGTAGAATCATCACGACTTTGTAACTGATTGGACATGAGAGGAGAAGGACAAGAAGCCTTAAGATGATTCTAGCTTCCAGACTGAAAAACTGGTCTGACAGTGGGACTATCAACTAAGAAGTTTGATGAAAGAGGAAAATCAGGTTTAGGAGGGGGAGAAGAAAAGATGACAAATTCAGTTTTGCACATACTGAATTTGAATAGCTTGTGGAATTCCTAAGTAGTGAGGTCTAATTAATATCTCAGAAAAGAGTCTTGGGTTACAGGCAGGGCCACAGGAGTCTAAAATCGCCAATAAATAATAGTCAGAATCATGGGATCAGATGATCCTTTTACTATTAAAAGATGTAATGTAAACACAATAACTTTTAAAAATTATTAACAAATACTTATTCTGTAATGTAGTAGGACATAAAAATAAATTACAAAGAAAACCAGCACTTGTTTTCAAGGAGTTTCTATTCTTACACATACATCTTAATTCGTTTCATGAGTTTAAAATTGGTACATTAGATTCTCTTAATTTTCTTTAAAACTCTTTCATTTGTGAATTGTAAAAGCAATATATGCTTTTTGTAGAAAAATAGAAACTAAACAAAATATAAAGAAGAAAATAAAAACCACCTGTAATTTGGGCTGGCCCGTGGCTCACTTGGGAGAGTGTGGTGCTGATAACACCAAGGCCAAACGTTTGGATCCCTAGATAGGGATGGCTGGTTAGCTCACTTTGGAGATCGTTGTGCTGACAACACCAAGTCAAGGATTAAGATCCCCTTACTGGTCATCTTTTCTTTAAAAAAAAAAAAACACCCATAATTCTACTTTGCAGATATAATCACAATTTTGGAGTACTTCTCCTTTTTTTTTTTCTACTTTACACACATATTTCTTTCACAATTTTAATAACATACATATTTTCAGGCTTTTTAAAAATTTTTTTATTTTTCGGTGGCTGGCTGGTTCAGGGATCTGAACCTGTGACCTTGGTGATCATAAGACTGAGCTGTAACCAACTGAGCTAACCAGCCAGCCCATATATTTTCAGTTTTGGATATGCTTTTTTCATTTAATATTGTTAGCTATTTTCCACATCATTAAAAATTCTTAATAGTAATAACTTTTCATGGAAGTATAACATTCCACTTATCAGACATTCATCTCCTTTCTGATGGGCAATCATATTGTTTCCAGTCTTTCACTGTTATAAATTATGCTTTAATATTTTAAAATATTTTCCCATTCCTGATTTTTTTTAAAGAATAGAGTCCTAGAAGTGGAACTACTGAATCAAAGTATATAAACATTTTTGTGTCTTGATACATAATGCCAATTTTTTTTTTTTTTTTTTTTAAAAAGATGACCGGTAAGGGGGTCTTAACCCTTGACTTGGTGTCGTCAGCACCACGCTCAGCCAGTGAGCGAACCGGCCATCCCTATATGGGATCCGAACCCGGGGCCTTGGTGTTATCAGCACCGCACTCTCCCGAGTGAGCCACGGGCCGGCCCATAATGCCAAATTTTATTGTCTGCAAAGCTTGTACTAATTAATGCTTCTTCCCAGCAGGCTACAGAAGTGTCTGCTGTCACAGTCACCTACAGTAAGATTATTAAGAAACAAACGTTATTAATTTGACTTAAAAAACATTATATTATTGTCAAAAATAAGTTACATTGAGTGAAAGAAGCCAGAGAAAAAAGTGTACATAAAAAAGAATATGTTTTATATAAAACTATAGAAAATGCAAACTCAGAGTGACAGAAAGCAGATCAGTAGTTGTCTGTGGACTGGGGGTGGGGCAGTGGGAGGAAAGGCTTATAAGGGGGCAAGAAGTATATAATTCTGTGATTTTTTTTTTCATGTTCCTTAGTCATTTTTCTATTTGGACCTTAGCAATTTTCTCTTGGATATGAGAATTGTTTACATATTAAGAAAATTCACCATTAAAGTTCTCTAGATTTCTTTTCTCTGTAATTTTTCTGTTACAACATGTTTCCAGTAGGGCTCCTTTATTCGTGCAATTTTTTTTCTTTCTTCCTTTTTTTTTTTTTGGTAGCTGGCTGGTATGGGGATCCAAACCCTTCTTGACCTTGGTGTTATAACGTGCAAGATAATTTTAACCAAGAGGATGTACTATAACCCTACACATCTGTAAACTACAGTAAATTATTAATCATCACTTTGCAAAATAAACAAAAGTCCTTTAAATAAAATTCAAATTTGGACATGAAGGAGTGTTACAACCAAGGCCTTCAGAATTGGTATCTAACATATTGCACGTCTGCTTTGATGTTTGGGAGCTATCTTCTTCAGTTACTATCACCTATAGCGGAGATGAAGGACCTCATTAACAAAAAAACTATACGACGTTACTTAGGAGTTTAGCTAAGAACCACTCTGCTTACAACGACTTCTTTGGGGTCTTCCTTTGGCTGCTTACACAGGAAACCAAGGAGAGGAGGTAGTGCCACGAGGTGATCTCACGCTGGCATGACGTAAAGAGCCCTTGACGTCAGAAGGCGGTTGCCACGGGGACCGTTCGTCACTGACGGCAGAGTCGTGAAACCACATCACCAGAGTCCTGTGTCGGCCTCTGCAGGGTCTAAGCTGTTAAAGAAGCTTTAACCTTAAGGGGGCCTCAGGGAGTGAGGAGTTGCGCTGCTGCCTCTGAGAGCTCCACGTCCGTGGCTTTTGGGCCCCGGCCTGTGGCGGCGTGCGGCGGCCGCTGGAGGCGGGCGGCGGCTGTGGCGGCGGCAGCAGAAGGCTTGCCCGGGTCTCCCTCGCTCCGTTCAGGGCCCGGAGAGGGGATCCGCCATATTGGAGCCGGAGCCAAGAGTTCCTTGGAGCGGCGGAGAGAGGCGGGGGGAGGTGGTGGCCCTGGCCTCGACCTGGGAGGAGTCGGCTGTGTCCGGGCCCGCAAGGCTGGGGAGTGAATGAGCCGCTCGGGCTAGTCTCCTCCCCGCCCACTCCCTCCACTTTCTGCCGCCTGGACCAGGCCGGGAGGGGGCCGGAGCCGGCCGTGGCAGGATGTTCTCCAAGAAGCCCCACGGGGACGTGAAGAAGTCCACCCAGAAAGTGCTGGACACCAAGAAGGACGCACTGACCCGCCTGAAGCACCTGCGCATCGTCATCGGTGAGGAGCGAGGGGTGGCGGTGCCGAGGCCTGGGTTGCCCGGCCTTCCCTCCCCCGGGAGTCCCGGGGACTCTCAATCCGGACCTGGCGCTGGAGTAGAAGGCAAAGCGTCGCCTCTGCAGAGACGCGGGAGGGAAGATAATTGGGGGAAGGGAATACTTGGCAGTTGACGACCACAAATTATCATCTGTTAACACAGGGATATCTAATATCGAGTTAATGGTCCGAAGTTATTTTTTTAAATTAGTATTACTCTAAAAACTTAGCTTTCTAATGCTTTGGAGAAACTTGGTCTTGTGGATAATGATGTTGATAGGATATGTTTGCCAGATGACTACTGCCACCCCTACCCAAGTGAAAAGAAAAACAAAATCCTCTCCCAGACAATATAAACCTTAATCTTTCAAGTTTCTTGGCAGATGAGGGCAAGGAGGAAGTTATACCTCTTTGGGAAGTGGGTGGTTCCCAAAATCTTGTGGGAAAGAGCACAGCCCATCTTTTAATGCACCTTATTCATTACAGTCAATTAGGGGAAAAACTATTATTAATTACAGAAAACAAGATAGTTTATCGCTTCCTTTGCTTCTGGAGAATTGTATAGAATTCTGTTTTTATTTAATTAAAACTTTCTTACTCTGATGCCCTGAACCTGTGTTTTGCTGGCAGACCAAACAGTACTCTGAGTTTTAGATATAATGTTAAATGAATCTTTTAGATGCTTGGTCATTTAGTAGGCTGATAAGGGCTCATAATACTTATGGAACATCTGGTCTAGTATTTGGATTTTTTAGATGAATAAATTTTAGGTGAAAAGGAAAGTTAGTTTGCCTGTGTTGATACATAGAGTTAATGTCAGAACTGGGTTTAAACCCTAGATTCCTGAATCCTAGTTCAGAGTTAATTACCTCAAGCCGTCTTTCTAATGAGTATTTGTTTTGGAAAGTGACTTTATTTAGTGATATAAGTAAATTCCTGTTTTGAGTTGCGTGTTTCTCTGTTGTATTCTTTATTCATACCACTGGGATACCGCCAACAATACCCAACATTTGTATGGTGCTTTACTGTTTACAAAGTGATTTCGCATAGATTGCCATAAAAAATCCTTGCAACAATTCAAGACATAGATATTATTAGTCCCCAGTGAGAGAACTGAAGTTTGGGAAGGTTAAGTGGTCATCCAGCTACTAGGAGGCTGAGTCAGAACTGGAGCCCAGATTTCCTGTCTCCAGTTTGTTTCTTACTCTTACTACATTTATGACAGCTAATCTTTGTCAAGAGTAAATTGTATTTATCCTGTGGAATAATAAGAAAGCAATTAATCCAATTTAACAATATAAAAAGAAGCCCAGTTTTCAAGAAAACATAAAACTTCTAAATGTAGAGATGGTGATCTTTTTGTTTTCATTCTACTTGAGCGTTAAGACACTGAAAAAAAATTTGGTTGAGAGAGTGGGACAGGGAGAGAAAGTTAATGTTTGAATGTAGGAGATGTATCATAGATAATGAAAGATTGAAATTGAACACTTAATGTAATTTGACACCGACTTGGGACAAGCTGTCGGTTGGGTAACGGCAGAGCTATGAAGTTGAGTGCCAATAGAGTATTGAGATTTCCTAAATTAATTCCCATAGTTCATCAGTTGTAATGGTTAAGGAATGGTTTGTAAACTTTTTTGGCATAGAGGTTTTTTTCCATCTGAGAGACATGGTCTAAATTAAGACGTCACGCATGTCAGATAAGTCCTAGCTTCTTCAGTTTGAAAACAGAACAATTTTAAAAAACCTTTGCTCTATATGGTAACAAATGGACTTTTTATTTTTAATGGAGCATATACTGGGGCATGTGTGTGTAGGTATAAACATTTAAAATTTCCTTAGTAATCTTCAAATGGTGAAATTCTGCTTCCAGACTCCTGAATGGAAGAGGTACGTACAGAGAGACTACACTTGAATAGTTTTAGAACAGAAGTTCTCAATCAGGGGCATTTTACCCCACAAGAGACAATTGGCATTTTTCCACAACTGGGGAAAGGTGCTACTGTCATCTAGTGCATAGCAGGGGTATGGATAAATACCTTACAGGATAAGCTCTCACAACAGTATTCTAACCCTAAATGTCAGTAGTGCTGAGGTTCAGAAACTTTGTCAAAACATAGAGTAAAAGATGGATGTCCAAGATGCTATATTTGATTTTAATATTTTAATTAAATCGAATAAAATATTCCATATATTTAAATGGTTAGTTATTTTGTTTGAGATATGTTTAATGTAATTTCTAAAAAAATGAGTGGAGGAAGTAAAATGATAAAAGCTGAATGGTGTATTAGAGGTCTGTTAATCTGGTATCTGATTTTGCAGATGGAAGAGCCACTCTAAATCCTTTTTGGAAGTAGGTACAGGTTTTAAATAATGTAAACACAATGAGGAAACTAGTTTGCAAAGTAATTGGGCTTTGCTAATTACACAGGATTTTGATTTTTCTTTTGTCCCATCTGAACTGTATGGAACCAAACAAAACCCCTATTCACTGAGTATTTATCAGACAATTTAGTGCATCCAAATATATAAGATCATAATTATAATTTAAACATCTAGTGTAAACCTTTTTTCAGGCTTTCTTTTCATGTATTTCAACTGTAGGACAATTCCCAATTAAATTTATAGAACTTGACTGTGAAGGATTTAGTTTTAAATCTGGTGTGTTTATTGATATTGCTGTGTATTTGATTTGTAGGAACAAAATCAAGTTTTTCTTAAAATAGAAAAAAAAATCCTTGTTTCTAAAGCTTTGTGTTATCCTTTTTACCCTCCACCCCCATTTTTTAGAACTAATCACCTTATGATAATGAGAGTAAGTTACCACATGTAAAGTGGCTAACATAATGCTTGGCATATAGTGGGTATTGACTAAATGTTCGTTTTCTTCTACTTTACAATGGCAAGCTAACAGTTCAGTCTTCTTGATTTGAAAATTAGAAGATAAATTCTTGTTTAGCTAAAAATATATTGATTATTGTTAGATTATTCTTTTTAACAGCTTTTTTGAGGTATAATTGGCATATAATAAATTGCACATATTTATACTATATAATTGAATCATTTTTGGCATACATATACTTCATGAAACTGTCATAATAATCAAGGTTAAACATAGCCAGATAATCAAGATAACAAATACATCTATAACCTTCCAAAGTTTCCTCATGTCCTTTAGTAATCCCTTCCTCCCACCCCTACTTGCACCCTCCCACCCTTCCCTAAGCAGCCATAATCTGCTGCCACTGTAGATTAGTTTGCTTTTTCTACAGTTTTATATAAATGGAATTATACAGTATATAAATGGAATTATATAGTATAGCCTTTTTTTTGTTTGGTTTCTTTTACTCAGTCTCATTATTTTGAAATTATACTGTTGTGTGGTGTGTCAATAGTTCATTGCTTTCTATTACTGAGTAGTATTCCACCGTACAGCTATACCACAACTTGTTTATTTATTTACCTGTTGATGGACATGTGGGCTGTTACAAAAAAGCTGCTGTGAAGTGTACTTGTTGTATAGACATACACTTTTTTTTCTCTTGGAAAAATACCTAGGAGTGAAATGGCTGGATCATATGGCAGTTGTATATTTAGCTTTTTAAGGAACTGCCAAATTTTTTTTACCATTTTACATTCCCACCAGCAGTGATGAGAGTTCCAGTTTCTCCATATATGCACCAGCACCACTCTGTATGGCTAGTCTTCTTAATTTCAGCCACTATAAGAATTATGTGGTTATGATTAGTATTTTCCTGATATCTAATAATGTTGAATATCCTTTTATGTGCTTACCATTGTATAACTTCTTTGATGAAGTTTCTATTCAAATCTTTTACCTATTTTTTAGTTGAGTTTGCTTTCTTATTCAGTTTTGAAAGCCCTTCGGATATTCTGGATAGAAGTACTTTATCAGATACATGATATGCAAAGATTTTTTCACAGTCTTTGGTTTGTTTTTTCATTCTCTTAACGATTTCTTTGAGGGAGTAGAAATGCTTAATTTTGATTAAGTCCATATATCAATCTTTTTTTTTTCCTTTTTTTTTGTCTTTTTTCGTGTCCGGCAACGGATCGCAACCCTCAGTGTCGCGCCCGTACCAGACTGGGACCGGCAACGGGATCGCAACCCTCGGTGCTGCGCCCGCACCTCGCTCAGCCAGTGAGCGGGAACCGGTCTGTATGTGGGATCCGAACCCTCGGCGGGAGCGCCGCCGCGCTCCCAAGCGGCACACTGTAGCAGTGCGCCACCGGGCCAGCCTCTCAATCTTTTTTTTTAATGGTTTGTGTTTTCTGGTGATGTATCTAAAATCTTGCCTAACCCGAAGTCACAAAGATTTTCTTCTGTGCTTTCTTCTAGAAGTTCTACAGTTTTAGGATCTCTATAAGTCTATGATCCATCATGAGTTTACTTTGTAAATGTGGTATGAGCTAGATTGAAGTTTACTTTTTTATATATGGATATCCAGTTGTTCCAATACCATTTGTTGAAAAGGATTGTCCTTTCTGTACTGAATTGCCTTTGCATTTTTGCCAAAACTTGGTTGTCTAAATATATATGGGCATATTTCTAGACTCTCTATTTTGTTCCAGTGGTCTATTTATCTGTATTGGTGCCAATACCACAGTGTTTTGATTTCTGTAATTTTATAGTAAATCTTGAAATCAAGCAGTGTTGTCCTTTCATCTTTGTTTTTCCTTTTCAAAAGTTGTTTGTTTTTGTCTGTTTTTTTTGCAATGCCAGGTCCTTTGCAATTCCATATGAGTTTTAAGATTGGCTTGTCAATTTATGTAAAAAAAAAAAAAAAACACAAAAAACATGGTAGGAATTAATTGGGATTGTGTTGAATATGTAGATCAATTTGGGAAAAACCGACAATATTAAATACTCTGACTCATGAACAAAGTATATTTCTTCATTTATTTAGGACTTCTTTAATTTCTCTCAACAGTGTTTTGTAGTT